AATTAATTAATGACTTTTTTTAGTACTAAATTTAGTACTAAATTTGCTGTTTGCAACGTGAATTTTTTAGTACTTAAAAAATGCATTAATTTAGTTCTAAATTTAGTACTTAATTCAGTATCGTGACATACAGCCTTTAAATGTATAATGTATTGTTGTTTTTGCATTAAATACAAAACCCAAACAGTTTGTTTAGTTGCGTGACAGAGTACCTAATAACTCTAAGCAACAATAAAAAAATTAATTAATGGTAAGATTCCAATTTTATCGGACATTATAAATATTTTAATAATTTTTAAGTTATCCATTTTCTATCCCATGTTATACAATATTTTCAAGGTACTATTTCTCAAGACGAGACCGACTTCAAAACGCGACGCGACAGCGAGAGACCAAAAGCGGTCTCTTCACGTCTGAACACCTAATTATATTGAAACACATTTCGGTAGACGAGACAGACTACAGCAGATTTAGTATGGCAATATATGCCGCCTTACTGCTGTCTCGGTCTCTTCTCGTTTGTCGCTCGTTCCCAAATGGTACCTTAAGTCTTCTTAATCCAAGGGTCCGCGATTCGAACCCCACCGTCAGCAGGCATTTTTTTTTAATTTATTTATTTAAAAATAATTCTGATCCATATGTAGGATTCTCCACTCTAACCATTCACTGTTGGGTTCTAATTGCCAGTCCTGATCCTAAAATGGCGATGGGAAACCGTGACAAGGCCTGTCTGTAGGCGTGTATTAAAGTACTAGCACTCCTGCAATATGGAGTATTAGACTACTAGTTATACTACTAGCGATATTAACTTAAAATTTTTAGTAAAAATTAAGCTCTATAAGGGGATAAAGCCTATTGATTCTGAACAAAAATTGAATAAAAATAGGAGGTTAAGGAGGGTCTGTTAAACTGTGAAGAGTATAATATAGAATGCCAAGCATTATATATCTTCATTCTAGTTGGAGGGTTAATGAGGGTACATTGAATTGTATATATCCCAATTTCTTTCTCTTTTGATTTTGATTTTATATAAAAATTACCTTGATGCCAAAAATATCTCTCATACATGAATGTCATAATATCGCTACATGTGTATATAGGTGTCTGATGGTATCTGTGTGTCTGTATCCACGATACCTCAAAAATGTATGCAGAGAAAAACAATAAATTTAAAATTTAAGATTTTATCCATCCTCTAATGAGTTGATTAGATTTTGGGCATATACAGAGTCGTTTTTCTACTTTAAGCAATATGTCTGTTATTAACGCTTAAAGAAAAAAATTCGCAAATAAAAGTTGCTAGTGATATAAAATTCAATTAAAAAATAAATGAGAAATGTATGTAGGTATTTGAATTTTGACCTACCCTGTACAGATTTGTTTCGAAATAAAAAATAGTGTATCCGCATAAAATGTAGACTAATATCGAAACTATTTTACTACAATAGATTGGTTTTCAATTGTTTCTTTTGCAGTATATTAAGATTAATACGATTTTCGTATAAAATTGGTATTAGCGTATACTCTGTATGATCTTATACATTTTGGTATTTTTATAATTGGAGGGCATTCCATTTAAAAAACCTAACTTTGATATGTTCTCTTTTTTGGAGAACCCTGTATGATTTAAATTATTATTAAATTGTTATCTTTTCGGACATACATCTCGTTGTGAAAACAAATTTAAAAAAAATCAAATAGTTTTGGCTCTACAGACCGAAGCGTTACCCGTTGCCCATCCTGTACATAAGTCATTACCTTACAAGGTTCATTTGTCAAAATTTTAAATAGACATATCTGAAAGACTTTCTGACTTGTTTGTTTAGAGAAAACAAAATATTAAAAAGTACCTAGGGAGAAACGCATATACTCGTATAACTTAGCCAAAAATATTAAACTTTGGTAAAAAGTGTTGTTTTATTTATAAAGTAGGTATTTATTATTAAAATTAAAACCACTAATTACAAAGTATGGCAGTAAGTTAAATTTCATTTGCAAATAAACGTATTTTTTAACCATATTTTGTTAATAATATATTGAATTATTTATTTATTTAATTAATTTTCAAAACGCGCGTATAAAAATTGTATTTATTCCGGCCCTGTTCCGCATCAAACTGTTACAATAATACACATAACAAAATAACAAAGGTTTTATAGCGCCATCTGTGAAATTACCTTGAACTTCTTAGTGCACAGATTTCTACAAGCTTTGGATATGGCGTATACCATCTTTCATCTGCGTTGCACCTAGCCGACTAGGTGAATTAATAATTAGCTTTTATTTCAAACCAAGCTTTCAGGAAAACCGAACATTATTTTGAGGTGCGATTTGTTTCATTTATTTGATATGTTAATTGTACGGGTGGTAACGAGAAGAAAACGTCTAAATATGTTTAGTTTTAAAGTAAATACGTCGACAAGTCGAGGGTTTCTGTGTGATTTGGATACCGATGATCAAAGTTATTTTTCGAGTATTTTTAAAAAACTCTGCTTCTTTAGATTTCTTTACAACCCGTAGGCATTATTCATGAACTGATTTCTATATTAAAATTAATGCTACGAAGTATACTTTTCCCGAAAGCTTCGTCAAAAGTAACCTCTGCATATACGAGGAATTAACATGGGCGATCGCCGGCCTTAACTGCTTAGACTTAGCAGTTTATTTTCCTCAGGAATTAAGTGTATATATCATAGGTAAAATACTGCCACAAGTCAACCTGAGCAGCCCACTCTTTGCGAAAAAAAAACTTTGCTTGAAGTTTTGAAATTTTTAAAAATTGCATTATTCAGGTTAATAATGAATGTGTTGACTGCAAGAAAAAAATCTGAAACTCTCAGAATCTACTGTTCTTACCTTTAAATTTAAATGACCGTACCACTTGTTTTGTTATTTTTATGTTTAGTGCATGTGCCAGTCGTTTTTTTACAGCAAAAATCAACTCAATTTTTTTATTTTATAATCTTATAAATTCAGTATTTCTTGGTGTTTTTTCGCAAATACAGATTATATCTTACCTTTTTATCGAACTTCAGGTGTTTTAATATCTAACAGTTTCTTACTGGACATTTTAACTATTGGATTGAAATGAATTACGAACAATAATAATTACAAATGTGAAAGAATTCCTAAAGTTTCAATCGAGTTAAGGACATATTAAGTGTAAAATTATCTCTAGAAATAATAATTATGAAAAATGACAGTAATTAATAACATTTTTAACTAGAACAATATTTTTTATTCAAGGATTTGGTTTGACAACATTAATAATATCAAAATTATTAGAAGCTGAATACTTCCGCGCTTTTAATTGACTTTGAGAAATTGGTATAAAACTATAATACGATCTACTATTTTTAATTGTATTTATATTTATAAATCTTTCAGATAATAATGTTTCAGCAGCTTCTACGTCCTGACTCGATACAAAAAAAAATTATACCAGAAATTTGATTAGAACAAAATTCGTACATTGCTTCTGGAGTTAATATATGATGATCTTCTTACGTTCCTTTTGATTGTACCGCCTGCTCCATCACATGGACTTTTACCATGAGAAGTGGCAAAGAAATGCCACTCTACCTGTAGTCCAAAATCTGCTTCATGATGACATATATTAATAAAGCTTTTTTTATTTTTGTATTGAGCAGCTGCTCCATCACTGAAGTAATAAATTTTCTTAAACTCCGGATAACTATTTTTGAATCCTATACATAAGTCGATTTTTTTTTTTTTTTAATAGAAGCATCTAGTTATTTGGAAAGAAATAAAAAATTGAATTGATTTTTGCTGTAAAAAAACTACTCGCACATGCACTAAACATAAAAATAACAAAACAAGTGGTACGGTCATTTAAAGTTAAAGGTAAGAACAGTAGATTCTGAGAGTTTCAGATTTTTATCTGGCAGTCAACACGTTTATTATATAACCTGAATAATGCAATTTTTGAAAATTTCAAAACTTCAAGCAAAGTTTTTTTCTACAAAGAGTGGGCTGCTCAGGTTGACTTCTGGCTGTATTTTATCTATGATATATACACTTAATTTCTGAGGAACATAAGCTGCTAAGTCTAAGCAGTTAAGACGCTAGAGTCGATTGAAATTCACGAAAAATGATCAAAAAACACTCATTTTCAGCACGTTGCCGTTAATCAGAGGTATTGACTGAGCAAATTATCGATACTTACACTTAAACTACTATCTTCCCCCTCAGAATTCCGCTTTAATAATGTAGTTATCTTCAAATAGAAAATTTTCAGAGGAAAAGGCGATAAGGCTTGTAAATATCGATTTTTTAAAGTCTTTATTTAAATAGGTGGAAAGGAGTGCTAATAAAAATCCAACTCGTGTAAATTGTCTTCGTTGGGACCCTAAGAAATAGTTCCTCAAAGTTACACCAAAATCTAAAATGGATCGGAAACAATTTTTTTTATTTTCAGACGATTACTTAAAAGAGAGAAATCATTTTTAAATTAGTTATTTTATCTTAATAACCTAAAATAATTTGTACATGTTTATTAGTGGGTCGTAGAAAAAATATACAACTCGAGTAGATTGACCATATCCACTCTTGTTGCACAAACTACCATAGCGAAAACAAAAAGAAATCAAATGTGTATTGGATTTTTTGGTTGTAAAATTAATTTCGGAAAAATATGATGTAAACTTCGATGTAAAAAATAATTTAATTGTAATATTTATAGCAATTTTCCATTATTTTAATCCAAAAAAGCCATTTTGAGGTATATTATCTTGTGGAGTTGGTCTTGACAGTGATCAGGTAACCGCCTGACGAAAAAGACTGCGCATGTTTTCAACTATTGTTAAATAAGTATTAATTATTAATGTTTCTTTTTTAATTGGAATATATTTTTTTTACTATAAAATACCGCTTCAATAACCTTAAATCTTTGATTTTATATGGCTGGCACTTCAATAATGGATAATAATGGATACCTACTTACCTAAATAAATTAAAAATAATTAAAACAAAAATCAAAATTAATATTACTCAGTTTTTATTGTCACACATTACATCTTGTATTAAGTAGATCAATTATTTTAAGTACATAGCACTTAATTTTAAAATTGACAATTTTTAGAACTGTGGCACATGAAAATTTTTATTTTTACAATAAAATTTGTTTATGTACTTTAAAAGCTAAAACATGTTTATCAAGTAACTGTCCATTGTACCACAGCAGTATCGTTTCCCCCAGTGGATATGACTCTAGAGTCATCATATAAGAATTTTACGTCTGTAACGTAGCTGCTATGACCACTATAGGTATGACACAGAGACTAAAAATAAATAATATAGTTATAAATAAAGGTTTCTCATTTATTATAAATTTGTGATTAATAAATTTTTTCCTACGCGTAAAAGGTATTATATTCAGGGCCGTAACCAGAACCAATTTTTAAGTAGGCTATCAGAAATTTGAAAGAAGGTAAAGTGTGTTAGGTGGCTCGAGAGTATGGGGTAGTCAGAAAATAAAGATGGGGTCGAAAATTATTTGCAAAATATGTATGTCACGTTATAACATTTTTAAATAAATTAACTAACACATGTATTCAAAAAAATTCACATTACAATAAAACTAAAAGAAAAACAATAATCTATATTATGTTTTATTCTGGTGGACATGAAATAATACACTACATAGATGTATACTTTTTTTTATTAATATTGCACTTATTACAATTACAATTAAACGTTTCGTTCTTGACTTGAACATGGCTTGTTACAGAATGCCGTTTTCGTGTTGACCGCGCATCGCCTTTTCGCACTGTTCGCATTGCGCACACTCATCACCAAACCTTATGTAGGTGGTGCTTAAATATATACTGCCGTGTATATAAATTCATGATCGAATACCCCCACATTTAAAATTTATACTTACACCAATATTAATACTGACAATAATGATTATTGACAACTATACACATTTACATAATAAAAATGTATTAATATTTACAATAATGATCACTAGTAAACTTTACAACTTAAATAATCATGTGATTATTTTACATACAGTAAAACTTTGGTTGTTTCCATACTTAAATACATGGTTTAGTCAATTTTCAATAAATATGTCTTTTAAACTGTGGTGTTGTATCCTTTTAGTTTAGGAGCCCACTGCAAAATGTTGGGTCGATCCCTAGTATGGCTAAATTTTCGTGAAAACATCGGGTAATATACTGTGTAGTAGTAATCCGTCGGCAGCCACTACAATATCGTTTGCGTTTTATGTCATAAATAATTATTAACAATTGAAAATATGCGCAACCCTCCACCCATCGCTTTTTTGCTAAATTTTCCACTTAAACGATAGATAGTAATTATCGATGTTATTTTTATACACTCATCGCTTTTATAATCAAACTATATACCGTTGGAAAAGTCGCAAAACTTCCAACAAGAAAATACCCGGCTGCCGCGCGAAAGCGTTTGCATAACTTAGGCTGTCGCCATTTTGTGCGCGCGCAATATTCGGTCAAGTTTAAAATCCGCGCTTTAGGTAAGGATAAGGAGTTTAGGAGTATGGGCACAGCTGACGTTTATGTGACAACTGTTATTGCTTTTAGTTGGAATACGCGAGTTTCGGTTAAAGCTAGAGCGTCTCGCTTTCATGTATTCTTTGAATATTTTGTTTTTCTTAAGGGCAATTCCACAACCACGTTATTTTTATTTGTTTTATTTAATCTGCATTTAATGCAGAACATAGATATCTAATCACACAAAAAGTCAAGTTGTTTGCAAATTAATATTTTCAAGTTCAAGTTCATCTCGGTATTTTGGGTTCAAAGTTGTTATTTTCTTTAAACATTTCGAATGATATTCGACGTCGTATTGGTTCAGCAACAACAAATGTTCGTATTTATATTTTTTTCTATGCGAAATTGTAGTACACCGGTTATTTTTTTGTAAGTTTCGTCGATGCATTTCAAGAAGGTACCGTCATTTTTGCATACAAAACACCTGGGCGGCTATCCTCGACAATCGCTAAAAAACGAACCGTTTTCGAAAGTGTGTGGTTGAAAAGCGAGTAGTTCTTGAAATCTATTTTCTTGACTGGCGTTGATGAGCATTCGTTTTTTTAAACATGTACGTTTTTATCAAGCAAATATAATATCTGGCATCACTGTAAGCTGTCTATATTGTTGAATTCATGTTGAATTCAAGTAATGTGCAGGCCATAAAAAAATTCGGATTTTTACCCGTTTTAAATATCCACATCCGATGCATTTTTTACATCTCGAGCGTTTGTTTATCCACATCGGAAACATTACTACATCTACATCTTCGTTTGTTTATCCCAGATGTAGCTGTCTAGATTACATTTTTTATATCTCGATTTAAAATGAGATGTGAATCAGATGTTCGTTCCATGCCAGAAAGTAGGTGTTTTGTGAAGACAAGATTATTGATTTATCCATTGTTTATGCTAGGGTGAATATAAAAGCGATTAGAGTGTTTTAATTTTTGTTTAGATTTCAAATTTAGATTGATTTCTACTTTCAAAAGTCAAATTTAAAAAAAATATGAATTTCTAACTTATCATTGTCATTTTATCACATGACCAATAATGTCTAGAGCGTTTGGTTATTACATCTACATTTAAATCTTATCCTTTAACACGTGATAAAAAATGTGCAACCTTAGATGCATCCGATATAGATATTCAAACACAGCATATGTAATTTAATTACAACAAACCAATTGTAAATTTATCAAATGATGATTTTTATAATCGCAATAAATAAAAGTTCAGGAAAAACTGAATCGTTATTATTTTGCGGAAAAATAGTTATACGGGTGCAGTTAATAAAACCTAAAATTCTATGAAAATCGTACGCCATAAAAAAAAACTAGTTTTTAAGGAACCAAATTAATTTAAATAATAGCTTGGCTTATCTCATTTAATTTTTTAATATGTTGTGCCTATTTACTTAATTGTTAAAATTTTTGGAACGTGTGATACAGAAGAGCTTTGAACTACCACTTGCAAGAAACCGCAAGCAAATTAATACATAAATTAATAATTAAATTCTTGAATGGTAAGATATAAAAAATATTCATTTAGTATCCAATAAATTCAAAAAATGAATTCTGCCTCTACGTGTCTGAATCTTCGAGGATTCTTATTTTCCAAGTTTTTTAATTGAACAATTAATAATAATTGAAAGACATTCTCAGTTAATAGACTTGTTTAGTACTACAAACCATATTTGTAAGAAATTAGATACTTTCATAGGTATTAATAAAAACTAGTTTACCTAGATTTTGTTAAAATCAATCAATATTACTAATCATCCTAAAAGTGATATTAGCTAAATCCTTGAAAACATGCACGTTTTATTAAAAACGTGTAAAAAATCCGCTGGCTGTAAAACACCCGTTTTATAAACGTACACGCTTTTAAAACGAAGAACGAGAATAGCGAATAGTTTGCATGTTGCTAAAGCGTATACGTTTTTTAGAAAACGATTTCCGATGATAAATCCCTGCGCTATAACAATTTATTAATATCACGGCAGAGGAAGAAATATGCAAGTTACAACTTGAGGCAATAAAAGATGTCACATAAACGTCAGCTAAACGCACACTCCCAAACTCCTTTTTCATAGTTAAAAGAATAAATATTCTTTAAACTGTGCCTTTTCTAAAGCGCGGATTTTAAACTTGACCGAATATTGCGCGCGTACAAAATCGCGGCAGCCTAAGTTATGTAAACGCTTTCGCGCGGCAGCCGGGTATTTTCTTGTTGGAAATTTTGCGACTTTTCCAACGGTATATAGTTTGACTATAAAAGCGATGAATGTATAAAAACAACATCAATATAGTACTTTTCGAACCCATCAGCCACCCTTAACGCAAGGGATGATGGTCGGCAGCCGGGTATAGAAATTTATATTTAATTACTATCTATCACTGATCTGTATTATTTTACTGGATAGGATATAGCCCCCTAAAAAATGTTCCGAAAAATTGGCCAATTTGGGCAAATAATATGGCGGACCGGATGTTATTTAACGTAACCTCTATTTCCATTTGTCATCACATTTGTCATTTAATTGTGTCAACAAGCTACGATGAGATGTTTTTATTGTGGAAAACAAAGTAAAAAGAGTATGAAATAAACAATAAACGTTCATTCCTGAAGACACAATATGCTTCACGTTTCCATTTTTATATTTTCTTTCATAAAAAATAAAAGCATGGGTGAAATTTCCCGAAGAACATCGGCCGCAAAAGGAATAGAAGAAGAATAAGAAGAAAAACTAATCAAATTATAGGTTAGGTATGTCAAATTATCCCAAATTTCAGTTCTGTGAACCCACCATAATTTGCCCAAATCGGCCAGCATTGTTGCACTTCCGGTCTCCTTGTTGGAACGGTTTTTTAGTATGTTAAATATAGCCTATATCCTATCCAGTAAAATAATACAGATCAGTGCTATCTATCGATTAGGTAGAAAATTTAGCAAAAAAGCGATGGGTGGAGGGTTGCACATATTTTCAATTGTTAATAATTTTTTATAACGTAAAACGCAAACGATATTATAGTGGCTGCCGACGGATTATTACTACATAGTGTATTACCTGACGTTTTGATGAAAATTTAGCCATACTAGTGATCGACCCAACATTTTGCAGTGGGCTCCTAAACTATTTGATTAACAATAACCTTATATTGTATAATATTTACAATTTTAATGTTCCTGCCTACAATGCGTACTGTTTACAAACCCTGTATTATATACTTTGACATCTACACATTATTAATCATTATACAGCAAATATATATGTATACATCCTAAAAAAAGTTATTATACATTACAATTTAAAATTTAACAATACATTTTTGATGACACTTGATCCATTTTTTTTCCTTATACTTAATAATATCTTTATATCTTCACATTCCTTTCCTGAAATAAAATCCTTTAAATATTCTGGTTTATTTACCTGTCTTTTAGATTTTCTCATGACAGAATTCTGTTTTTCAGAGCAAAAGGCTACCTTATTAATGTTACAATAGCTACTACTAGGAATATTTAATCTATCTACATTCCCCGATTCATTATCAGATCGTGTTACACGTAAATTATCATTTGTCTGATTTGTCAATTCTACATTAATCTCAACATTTGCTTCTAATGGTTGACTATCCCATCCTGAGAAGCAGGCAAGTTTTTAAAATAATCTGAATTAAAATGGTTTGAGTTACATTTATTTTTACTATTGTTCATTACCCCATGACTCACAGTGCTATCACCCTCGATGTTATTTTGTCT